AACCATACACCCAGTATGGTATCGCGATTCGCGATTTTGCGCTATCATACTGGGTGTATGGTCGGCTGTGTGCGATTTTGCGAGTGTGGTAAAATCGCATAACAGCAAAATCGCATAACAGCCGAGCATACACCCAGCAGCGCTGCTGATGCCTGAACGGTATGTGGAATGAAGTGGGCGGGCATCGGGAGGCCACTATGGCATGGGGCAAGCACTATGGGCAGTCTATCTGAAGTGTACCTGGCGTATAAGACGACCCCCCACTTGGAGGCATATTTTTCAGGGCCAAAAAATCGTCTTATACGCCGGCAAATACGGTACGCATTAATATTACTGACTATAGTCCCTAGGCTGAGCTTTACATCCCTGTTTTGTGACTACTAATTTGCATGTAATCCCTTCACCCTTGTCACCTACCCCTCAACCCCCTTCCCCTCCGGCAACCAGCCAGTCTGATCTCTGTATCTATGAGTTCACCTCATACTATAGTTGAAGCACTGTGCCAGGTATATATGATTAAACAATAGTTACGTAAGACGCCATAGTCAATTATATAGGAGGTAATACAGAAATACTACAAATGTGAGTCTTTAAAACCACGATCATAAAAATATTCCAAAACTAGCATCCAAATATTTTCTGTGTATCATAATGTTACTACATCTATGAACTCAAACAAGTTTTCTAATTAAGAAGAGCTATAGATGAGTATTACGAGAATACATTTTTATTCATGTTAATGATGGTCTAATAACTTATGACTTAGTTTTGGGAGTTGTGTACATATTTTCTGAGAGAAGGGGTTAATAATTATATTTTTTATTTATCTGTAAATTGCTGTGAATATTTAAAAATATAGTAAGTAGTAAGAGAAATGCAAATACCGTATTTGCCGGTGTATAAGACGATTTTTTGGCCCTGAAAAATATGCCTCCAAGTGGGGGGTCGTCTTATACGCCAGGTACACTTCAGATAGACTGCCCATAGTGCTTGCCCCGTGCCATAGTGGCCTCCCGATGCCCGCCCACTTCATTCCACATACCGTTCAGGCATCAGCAGCGCTGCTGGGTGTATGCTCGGCTGTTATGCGATTTT